TTCTGCTCCAAACCCATTGTTGCTGAATCAATTCCAACTCGTGACAACCCTGTGGGTTTCCAAGGCTGTAAATCTTCACAGAAGCAGACTGCTACATCTTTCTCCCACGGAGCAACTGGTAGGTCTGAACTGTCAACCTTTTGCTTAGCAGCTGGATTTTTAACCACTGTGTCACCAGGGCTCCTCATATCTTCTGTTCCAATCTCTTTGATTTTGTAGATGAGGACTGAACTTAAGCGACTTTCCCATTACATGGCTAAATAGTGACTTTTATTAGAGTAAACATCTGCTAGGGAGAAGGATTTCTTTCTTTTTTTTTTTTTTTTTTATTCACAGTACCTGGATAACAAACAGGTGCATAACAGAACACTTGTTGAACTGAATTGCATGACAGAGTTAGAGCAAAGTGCCAGGCTATATCTTTAGGTTTACTGGGCTATTCAGCAGAGATACCCTAGTTCACCCTTATCAGCTGATATCACAACTCTTACTTGCTCCAGCTCTACAGCTGAAAAGCCATCACACAAAATTGATGCTTGAATGAGGATGAGGCTCAAGGCATCAACAGAGAACAGAGAACACCTAGAGAAAGAAAACTGGGAAGAAAAATTGGCCGCCTTTGCCCCACTGATGACTAGTCACATGATGGAGGGCATGGCTGTGCCAAGAAAGATAATTTATATCTTTGAAAAAGCAGTTCAAATGGCAGAATTATGAACTATTTTTTTAAACAAAATATCCCAATGGTACAGCCTGAGAGAAAGTTTAGTTTTGATCTTACGTGAAGGATTTCTGTTTAATACTGATGGCAATCACTACTATCCTAAAAACAAATTAATCCCCAAAGTTTTCTAACTTCAAAATAGGATATTGTGGCATCACTTACAACCAAAAAAGCATTTGTGGCTTTCATATCATGTAATTAGCAATGTTTAGTTTTTTTTTATTTGATGCTTTTTCAAGATGACTCAAGTTTTTCTTTTAAATTAAGTTACACGAGCCTCATGTATGGCATGTGCACTCTGAAAATAGAGGGTAACCACAAGGTAGAGAGAATTTTCCATGCCAGGCTTGTAAAGAAAATTTCATTACTAAACAGTCACAGTGTAGTTTTAACTCTTCATCTTGCGACATATGTTCGCTGTACATTAATGGTATGTATGTCTTAGGACCTATTTTAGGACACCAGATAGTTCTTAAGGGGCCCTGGGAGCGCAATGGTTAAGTACTCAGCTGCTAAACAAATGGTTGCCAGTTTGAACCAACCCAGAAACTCTCGCTTCGCTTCGTGGGAGAAAAACCTGGTGATCTGCTCCTGTAAAGATTACAGCCTAGAAAAGTTTATGAGGCAATTCTGCTCTCTCACATGAAGTCACTACGAGTCAAAATCAACTAAACGGAATCTAACAACAGGTACTTCTTTCTCTGTTCATAGCTTTTAAGGTTTTCTGTGAAAACACAGACATTATGACTACTTTTAATGGATGACACTCAAAACAATTTTTACCTTCCTAGGCTATAGTAATATTTTTAGCTGTTCAAACACACATACACACACACACTTACTCCAAGCAAAACGGAGTATCCAAAGGATAGCAAGAGCATTTTAGAATTGACAGAATCCATCTGAATTATAGAGAATACAAAGACGTATTTATCAAGGTGAAAAAGCAATCAATGTTAGCAACAGTTTCAAATAGCAATTGTGAGAGAAGTTATACACCAAATTTGACATAAGTAGGGGGAAGTCTAATGTTAAATAAAATGAATCACAAGATCTTAAAAAACAGGAGGAGGTGGAGAGGCTGAACTTAAAGAAAGATATAAGCTGCTATGAATGCAATATGACTTATCTGAGACTTAAGAAAGAGATCTGATTACTCTGCCATCACTGGAATATGATTTTGAACTGAAACAACAAATACAATTCTGGATATAGAACTAGGGAGAAAACAAGCCCCTTACCTTGCTCCTAAGTATCTGAAGTACTGTGGGGCTTTCTGATAAGTCTTTGAGACTATTAGATCGCTACAAAAATGGTGGTTGATAAGTCACATGGCAAAGAAAAAGGGGTGGAATAGCAGCCTGAGTAAGAGATGCAAAGTTCTTTTAATAAATTTTAGGCCTTGAAGGAGTAGGACTTTTAAAATTAAGATACAAACACAAAATCAAAATCTGAGGACTATGAAAGTCCTTCATCCAGTCTGAGAAGCAGGTCATTGTGGGGAAAGGCACTTCACTGTATTTTGATTGTGCTGAGGAATGGTAAGGAAGTCCCATTCATGGGAGCTGGCAGTACCAGGAAGCCTACCTTATAGTCCCTGACAGGTTAGTTCCAAAATTACATTCAGTCCTATGCCTATGTTTCCCTTACTGGTAGCACATGCCATGTTGTTGTTGTTATTTGCTGTCGAGTCGCCCCGACTCATAGCGACCCCTCCTTGGGTTTCCAAGGCAGTATCACTATGGAAGTAGGATTGCCCAACCTTCCTCATGCCATAGTCCTGAGTTTTTGAGCAAAGCAGTGGTACTATTTGGGTGACTAAATCTGAATCCTCAGGAAAGTATAAAAACAAGCAAAAAGAAGTGTAACTGTGCAAAAATTGGGTGTATACCAATGCAGTAAGACCTTTTGAAATCATTATGCAATTTTGTGTAATTTGTTTAGCATGTTTAGAATATTTGAGAGATGTTGATCTCTGCGTTTGCAAGCTGATTTACTAGATTACAAAGTTGTTTGGTGCTTAGGAAGATTTTACTGGTCAGTAATGCAAATTTTTCCTTTTATGTTGAAAGTGTCTTAATCATTTATCTTTGATTACCAATAAAGAAAGAAATAGAGGTCCATCAATGTATAAATGGATAAACGAAGTGTGGTGTATATATAGAATGGAATATTATTCAACCATATAAAGGAGTGAAGCACTGACACACGCTACAGCTTGGATGATCCTTGAAAACATTATGTTCATTGATGGAAACCAGACATAAAAAGTCACATATTGCATGATTCTTTTTATATGAAATATCCAGAAGAGGAAGCCATAGAAATCCAAACAGGAATAGGAGTCCAAAGAAAGCAGATGAGTGGTTGCAGATTAGTGGGGATGGGAGGAGGAAAGGAAGGAAAATCAGTGCTTACTGGGTACAAGGGTATTTTTCTGGGGTGATAAAGTACATTTTGAAACTAGAGAGAGATGGTAGTTAGGTAACACTGTGAAGACACTAAACACAACTGAATTGTACTCTTTAAAATGGTAAATTGCATGTCACATGAAGTTTAAAAATAAAGAAATAAAACTGGGAATTTTTAAAAACATGTAACAGTGAAAAATATTTTCCATAATTCTGAAATGAATCACCACAAAGTACTTAATTTAGTTAAAATGATAGGCTTTTTTATACACTCGATATGACTTGCAAATGAGTGTTGTCCCTACTTTTGATTTTTAAATCATTCTTACTTGTATTTTAATAGAAATCTAAAAGTCAGGGCTATTAAGTCTGTTTCAAAAGTAAATTTAGAAGACATGAGAGAAATTCAATTGAATTAGAAAAATCTTAAAATTGCTTTAAAAAGTATACACATAATTCTAGAGAAAAATACACAAACCAATTTTAAATATAGAAAAACTTACGTAAATAAAGTACACATGAAAATACCTTAAACTAACCAAAGATAAAAGGTAGCAAGAAGGTGGTAGGTGTTTAGAGAGAATTAAGGATATGTTGGAAAACATATAAAAAGAATGGTTTTATATCAAGAATTCTGTAATAATTCAGTGAAAATATGCTTTCTTACATATTATAGGTACATGTGTCACTGACAAGATGCTTGATTGTAACCATTCCAGGTTACTATCCCCTCAAACCAACACAAAATAGTTACGTTTTCAATCTTGCACTTTTGAGAAAACTGGAGCAGGGAAAACAAGATAAAGAAGTCCTTTACTGATATAAAAAGCAAACTAAATATCAACTGCCTCAAAACTATTTCCGACATAATGCAGAGCTAGTACCGATAAGGAAATAAAAACCAAGGAAATAAAAATTAATTTTCATTACTGTATATCCTTAGCTACTGGTTCTTGCATAATAAAAATCTTCTTTGACTAAAGATTTCAAATTTGTTGCACCGAAGATCAATGGTATTGTTATAGGTTGAAGTGTGACCCTTGAAAGATAGGTTGAAGCCCTAACACCTGGTATCTGTGAATGTGACCTTATTTGGAAGTAGGATCTTGGCAGATGAATTACTTATGTTAACATGAGGTCATACTGGAGTAGGCTGGACCCTAATTCAAAAGAAAAAGGGGAAGGCCCTCAACAGAATGGATTGACAGAGTGGCTGCAATGATGGGCTTAAACATAGCAAAGATTGTGAAGATGGTACAGGACCAGGCAGTGTTTCATTCTGTTGTACAGAGGATTGCTGTAAGTCAGAGATGACTTGATGGCTCCTAACAACAATAGTCTCCACATGAGGAATTCTAGTGGTGCAATTCTAGTGGTTAAGTGCTCAGCTGGTAAGCCACGTACTGGCGCTGCAGGAGATAGACCTGAAGATCTGCGATTGCAACCTAGGAATCCGTATGGGGATGTTCTACTCTTCATATAAAATGAGGAGAGAAATACAGAGAGACCCACAGGGAAGACAATCATGTGAAGACAGAGGCAGATATTGGAGTCAGGCTGCCTGGGACCCCCAGAAGCCAGAAGCATCAGGGAAGGAATCCTTCCCTAGAATCTTCAGAGTATAGTCTGGCTACAGCTTGATTTCAGACTGCTAGCCTCCAGAGTGGTTACAGGATAAGTTTTTGTTGTTTTAAACCACCTACTCTGTGGTGATTCATTATGGAAATCCTAGGACACTCATACAAGTGTGTTTCTATTATTTTCCCAGAGCTACTACCTATTTTATAAAATTAATGTCACATAATAGCCTTGTGATAAAAATAGCTACATAATAAAATTTAAAACAATTATTAAAAACAACTTACTTTCTTCTTTCTTGCTAATAATGGCAGGCAGAGTGTAAATCTAAAAAAAGAAAGATGGCAATCAATTATTAGCAGTTAAGGACCCAGCGCAAAAAATTAGCAAAGCGATGTATAAAGGGAAGGTCTTACTTTCAAGGTCGAGCAACTGCTGTTTCCACAACACCTTCTCTCTGCTCTGTCACCCAACCTCTTTCCTGCAGTGACACCAACCTTGCATGCCATGACATCCAGTCCCTGGCTGCCCTATCCTGAGCACAGATCCTGCCTTTCCCTATGATTTCTATATACCAATCTTGTCCTCAACATGACTCAGTATACTTTCTCCATCTGTTTAGTGTTTTGTTCTTAATGTGCACAGTCTTAACTGCTGTTTCTTGACATACCGCATCGTCTTAAGCATACACTTGAGGTCAGGGATTCTTAACTATTTGTGGTGAAGAAACAAGTTTCTATTTTTTTGTTTTGTTTCATTCTTTTTTTTTTTTCATTTTGAATAGACTCACTACAGACTCACTACTGTAAAAGTTAATAAAACTATTGTATAAAACATAGTAACAAATAGATGTGAAGCCTATTTTCTTATTATTAAATTCAACAGCCTTAAAATGATTATCAAATTGCTATAAAAGTTTCAAAAGGCTTAATCTCAAGTTCTGTGCACATCTTCTGCACACAGTTCTGATAACATGGTTTGAGGGAGGGCTGGCATATGTCCTGGGGCCACGTTCTGTGTGGCAGTGTGTTACCGCACAGGTAGCTTGCTCTGGGGTGTCTGCAGGTTCTTTGCCTTCTGAAGAAAGGTTCTCAAGGGACATTTATACTGTCCTCTCACCCCTCTTCATAAAGTACACAGTGACCAATGAATTATTCTGTTACATAAAAAGAGCCACTCCCATATTTGTAAGCATATTATCATATCAATGTCAAAACAACTGTTAGAAAAATGGGACAAAGAATGGAGGGGAAAATGGCATGCCAATGCAGCTGTATCAAATAATACTTCAAAATATGGTCTAAGCTAGAGGATTAGTTCTCTGAAACTTTTTTTTTTTTTTCCCTACTGATTCCAGTGTCCTGCACAGCCTTTGGGGAGAGTGGGCACTCAATAATTATTTATTGAATAATGTAGTCTAACAAGTGCAGACAAACTGGTGGGTTATGAGAAGTTAAAAAAAATAATCCCTGAAAAACAAGTAAGAAAGTATGTGCCAAGGCAACGAACACTAGAAAAACAGTAAAAGTTAACTCCTTGAACTTGCTACTTTAACCTTTGTACTTACATTACATACATGAAAAGAAAAAATTCAGAGGCAGATATTGGAGTCAGGCTATTTGCAATTATTAGAAGTGACAATAAAACTTGAATTAGAGGATGTGTCATATTCTTACTGGTTCCTTTCCATCCATGGCTTCAAGCCAAAGTTTCCTATTAGCTTCTGAAAAGGCCTGCAATGTGATGATCCCATGCCTATTAAAAACAAATATTTTGTATATTTAGTTATTCTTGAAATGTCTTTAAAAATGTATCAGTTTTAGATATATAATTAACTATAAAGGTAAATTTTGAAGAAAAAAGGGAAAGATTAAAAAAAAGACAAGAAAAAAGGAGAAAAACAAATGATTGAGAAAGAATGAAAAGAAAAATACTGACTTATAAAAATCACTGTGGATGCATACACTAAAACATTTTTAACTCTAATAATTGCAAGTGGTAACATTATTACTTTTTTTAGGTATAGATTGTTGGAAGAAGGCTAGTTTTAAAGATTTACTCTGAAATGACTAAAAAGGAAGAAAAGATATATTCACAAATTTCAAAACCATCTAAATATTCCACAAAATGAGAATGATGAAGTATATGTCCCCATGTAATACAATCTAGTCATAAAAAATCATGATGACTATGTATAGTATGTTGTTGTTGTTGTTGTTATTTGCCATTGAGTCGGCCCCGACTCATAGCGACCCCTCTTTGGGTTTCCAAGACAATATCACTACAGAAGTAGGAATGCCCAACCTTCCTTCCGAGGAGTGGATGTATAGTATGGAAAGCCTTATATCATAACTAGTTAATTATTGAAAAGATACTAAAGCCAAAGTTTTTACCCATACCATGATATTAAAATGTATTCACCTAAAAACAATTATGTCCTATACATCCAGTCTGTAATGGTTATTTGCGGATGGACTTCAAAGAAAGGAAAAAGAGAGAGAGGAAAAAGATAAAAGGGGGTTGTGGATTCTAAGAAAAACGAAGATATGAAATCCTAGAAATAGTAGAATTAGAGAAGTAATTTAGTTAACATATGCAGGCAGCCTAGAAAATGAGTTTCAACACAAAATCAAAGGACTCTGTGAAGAAAAACATTAAGAAGAAACTTTCATTATATACATGGCATGATTAAAATTCTGGAAAAACTGAAAATAGAGACACACATTTCTTTTATAAATAAGAAAACAGGTCATTAGAATGACAGGGAAAGGAAAATATATATAAAGATCAAGACAAGTAAATGTACCATCACCTTTCCTACCCACCATTGTAATGATAATATTCAATGACAATAATAAAATTAATAATGACTATCAATATGTGTTGACTATTTACCATGTGCCAAGTAGTGTATTATAAGTAAGCTTCCTTATATTATATCATTGAATTTTCACAACAACCCTTTGAGGTAGGTACTTATCATCCTTAGTTTACAGATGAGATAACTGAAACACAGACTCTACCAAGGTGCTCCAAAGTTTCAAAAGTAAAAAAGTGTTGAAATAAGATAAGAAAAAGTACCAACATGTCATTATTTCTCTCCATCAAAATTCTAAATGTCTACCACACATTATTAAAACAAATAAAAAAGTTCAGCAAATATGCTAATTATTGTTGTTGTTGTTATGTGCCGTCGAGTCGGCCCCGACTCATAGCGACCCCTCCTTGGGTTTCCGAGGCAGTATCACTACGGAAGTAGGATTGCCCAACCTTTCTTCCGAGGAGTGGCTGGTGGGTTTGAACCGCCAGCCGTCTGGTTAGCAGGCAAGTGTCTTAGCCACTATGCTACCAGAGCTCCCATGCTAATTATAGGAGATATATATATATATATATATATATATATATATATATATAAGCATTTTCTATAGCAGTATCAAATAATTAAGAAAAAAAAATATGTAATGAAAAGGATGTCATCCAAAATTGCAAAAAAGAAGGTACCCAACAAGAAACCTTAATAAAATAATAATAAACATATTTAAAATCTTTAAGGAGAGGTCAATTCTCTGTCAATTAATTCATAACTTTAATGCAATTCCCATAAAAAATCCCAGAGGGTATTTCTGGGGAAAAAAGGGGTGAGGATGGACTTAATAAGCTGATCCTAAAAACAGTAACAAAGAATATAGAGCCAAAATAGCCAAGACAATTTTGAAGATGCATAAGAAATGGGGCCTTACCCTGCTAGATAGCTACAAGCTATGGAATACATAGAGTATAACACCATATATAGCATGTATGCGCATGCACAGACACACAGCATAAGCTAGAGTATTCAGAAGAGCATTCCAGCAACATAGGGGGAAAAACAGATCAAGAGACAAAACAGAGAGCAAAAAGCATACCTGTTCTTATTTTGTTTTTATTCTATTTGTGTTCAAACCATAAGGGTGAAGACCTAAACAATCTCATTCAATTATAAACTCAGATGTACAACACTGATGTCTCTTCCAATACCCTATAGATGATTACCCAGAATAGTGTTTTGCACACAGTAGGCCTCCTTATTGCACTGAACTGTGGTATTCCCCTCTGTGCCTTACTATTCCTTAGAAGCAAGGCCACCAGGCGTCAAAACCGATGAAAAAAGATGACCTCTGAGCTATGAAAAGTGCTGTCAAGTTCCTTCATTGTGGACAGGGACCTCAAGTCCAGTCTATGTACTTTCCCTTAATACAGTCATTTATACTGATTTTCCAGATTCTTGAGTGATGTGACTTTTTCTTGGCATTCTGTGTCTTATTTGCCTTTTGAAAGTATCATGAATTATTATTTGTTAAATGAATATGTGAAAGAATGATATGAATATGCATATGGTTTTAAAAGACAGAGACTGAAAAATAAGCACTTTAATGCTGTTTCTTATTTGTAGCACAGACAGAAAAAGAAATAGTTTATTTTATCAAAAATATAGTGAAAAGAAAAGCTCAAACCTTTCAACTACTTCTATGTCAAAGCAGAATCGCTTGTCAATGGAATCTGTCTTTCGTCGGATACACGATTTTAATTTAAACATTTCTGGTGAGCTAGTAACGAGGCCATTCTGAAATAAGAAGGGCACATATTAACATGATGACAATTAATTTAAAATATATTAAATATACTATTTAAAACTACTGCATTAAAATGTTAACACAGAACATAGCTTACAGATATATGTCAAAATCACACCCAATATCTTATAAACACCAAGATTTCTTTTCTAATGTTAGGTGGCCAAGTATAATATCAAACAATTTGTAAATAATCACATATACACATTTTATTCAAAGAATTTTATGACATTTCTGTTTAATACCTTTCTATACACTTACTTATTATTACCTACATTTAATTATATCATAATGTATCTACACACTTTCTTAGTACTGTGTTCGACCAGGTGTGAAATCTAGATTCTATAATAATTTGATATATAGAATGCTTGTTAGGACACAACACTGTTATTATGAATTCTAATTCCTTGAAATGCTAGGAGATTAGTATAGTATGTGTGTGCATGCTCGTATGCACATGAATGTGCATGTTAGAGCCCTATACTGAAGCCTAGCTCAAAGTCTCAAAAGAGCTACTAGAATAATAAAGTTCTAATATATCCTTGGTATATTGTTATTACTATCATGCTTACCATGTGATTGCTATGCTGGTAACTGCAACTCTACTACTAAAACTAAAACTTTTTGGACAGAATCTAATATAGATCTAATTCACAGGAATTGTCTTCTATATTTAAAAGATGTCAGTAAAGGAAACATCTATGCGATGGCAATACCTGGTTAATTTTATTTTTGATTGCAAGGCTCACAGATTTATTTACAGAACTTTGGCATGGTCTACTTGTATAATTAGCTCACTGACTGTCATGTAGGCTGACTTTCTGGCAATATCTACTATTTTGAAATCCAGAGAGTAGAAACTGGATTTGTTTATAGCACTTAATAACTTTTTATGATGCGAACAATCTAAAGTTTCTTTTTCTCTGGTTTGTTCTATTTATTTTATGTCATTCAGTTTGAATTACTAGACTCTAATGAATGCCCAAGAACAATAAGTTTCAGTTGATGTATTTGAGCATGTGTCTAAGTTAGATCAACAGTCACCCCTACAATGATCTATGCCACAAATTAGCTGGGTGAGTCAATCAAATTTTATTTCTTAATTTGTTAAAAGAAGGCTGAACTAAGTGATCTCCAGGAAAACTCCCAGCCCTAAGGTTCTTGGACAATGATTCTTAGATGACTAGCTATGTAATTCATAAGTTCAATCAATGCCCATATTCATATCTTAACTCACAGAAAGATTATATACTACATGCAACAGAGTTGTTGCCCTCTGTAGCACCTCCTCAAACAAAGTACACTGTGTTCTATACTGTTCACTAGCCATGCGAGACATCAGTGACCTATTTACTTTTGGAGTAAATGAGCATTGATTGGTTTCTTCTGGGAAACCATGTTGTCCAGCATTTCATGAAGAGTACATAGCCCTGTGGAGGAGGAAGAGGTATTCAGGGGCAAATGCGGCCTCCCACCGAGGCCACCTGAGGGGAAGACACAGAATCCTTGAGCCAGGTCCAGCCACTGACAATCGCCTCCTGGTTGCTGGCCACCCAAAAGCACAGGATAAACAACTCGGCCCGGGAATGTGAGATGGCCAGTAGTCCACTGAAGGATCAGTGATCATGTAGCTAACTCAATTGCTTATAGATATTTCATGGTCAAGTTAAAGGAAACCCTGGCTAATTCTTTCTAAGTCGTTAAGGTCACTGAAGTGGTTTATGAAGTAAGAAAACATACTTGACTTTTCAATTTTTTATGATTGTGGATTTGTTATTAGAAAAGCAAGCAGATGCTGGCTTTTTTGTTTGTTGTCGTTTCACTGCCTTTACTTAAATTATAAACTCAGTTTTTAAAGAAAATAAACCAACTCACCATTTTCCCACTGGATTTCATTTCTGAAACGCTCATTGTAAATGTTTTACTTCCCTTATCATATGTACAATAATGTTTAATCCAGGTAAAACCAAGTGGTCCTAATGGAAAGAAACAAATACAAGTTCAGATTTTATTTGTAAGAAATTTGCATCTAAGTTTGTACACTTTTCTATGTGAAAATAATTAATTGAGTGTCTCCATATACTATGCAAGTTTGGAACATCTGCTGTATGTGACATAGGGCATCATGGAAAAAAGAGTGGTGAATTGTATAAAGTGTCTTGGAATAAAATAACTTGTAACTCTCACATTTACCCTGTGAACTTACAAGAAATGTCTGTATATCTAAGCTTCAGGCATCTCATCTGTGAAAGTAGTATACTTATACCCCAGCAAAGTAGAAAGAATGAGAAATAGTATATGTAAAATGCTTAGACAGCTTCTCTCAGAGCAAAGTCATCTCCTTAAATGGCAGTTCCATTGTTCTAGATGCTCAGGTCTAAAAACTTAAGAGTCTACCTTGACTCTTACCTTTCTCTCATATTCCACAGCTGATGCATCACCAAATCCTGGTGCATCTACAGTCAGAACTGTTGTCTCTACAGCCAGAGTTCAACCACTTCTTACCACCTTTATTGTGACCATCCTGGCTTAAGCCATAAGCAACTCCTGAGTTATTTATTCTAACTAGTCTCCCTACTTTTACTCCTTCCCCCTCTTCTCAATACTACCAGAAATATGCTGCTGAAAATTTAGTCATGTTATTTCACTCCTTTTTCAACCCCCCCCCCCAGTGGGTTCCCACCTCACTCTGGGTAAAAACCAAAGAGCCTATAATAATACACAAGGCCCTACATTATTTGGCCCCTCATTATCTTTCTCACCTCTTACTACTTTCTGTCTTGCTCATTCTGTTCTAGCCATACCGGACTCCCTGCTGGCCCTTGAACATACTGAATGCATTCCTACCTCAGGACCTTTGCACTTGCTGTTCTTTCAGCCTGGATTCTCCCTGAATGACTTGCATTCTCACCTCCTCTGGGTCTTTCCCTAAATATCATCTTTATGAAAGGGCCTTTCCTGAAAAGATATGTAACCTCTCATCCTGATACTTCTTAGCTATCTTTCTTGCTTTATCAATGTCTAAAATGTGATGCATTTTACTTATTCATTCTATTTACTGTCTGTCTCCACCACTAGATGTTAAGACTGCATGAGAGGTGTGATGTGTTGCTTAAGCCTTGGAATAGGACCTTACATATACTTGGCACTCATCTTGCTCTGAGAGTTTACTAGGTTTACCAATTTTTAAATTATTTCCTCATACCACTGTCTGAAAAAAATAAATTCTACTTATACTTTCTACTACTTATGTTTATAGACATTGGAATATGTGCAATGTTTACTTTTTCTCTGTTTGCCCATAAATACTGTGTAATCTTCTCCCACATTACACCATGTCATTGTCCATTATTCTCCCTGAGGAATTGGATGCTGCTACATCAGTGTACAGGGATACATTCTTAGCTCAATTTTTCCAACATCCAATGTGGGAAATCTTCAGTTTTCCTATTGGAAAGCCAAGTATCTTCCACCAAAATGTCATAGCAGATAAGGAATATCTGCATATGGGTTGACAAAGGAGCTGCTTTTCTATATAGTTCTTCCATCTGGGAATCAATCCTACTAAATACCTGGATTCTTTAAGCAACTGTATACAGTGTTATTGCTAGCTAGATTTCAGAATCTTATGTGTAAAAGCAAGGCATTGAGATTTATTTAAAAAAAATAAAACGCTAGAGAAAAAATGTTTCATGAGTCATTTGGTTTCTTTTTCCTTTAGTGTCCTTAGTATCATGTTTAATTTTACTACTTAAGCCACTCCAGATGTTGAAATTATGAGGTGCAGCCATATACTTTGCAATCACAAAGGATTATTACAGTTAACTTAATTCAGTTTTAGGACCACTTCACACTATAATACTTAACAGTACTTGTTGATAATTATCACTTGTGGTATGAAATACTTAAAGACTTAAAGCTGATTAGCATAAAGTGGATAGATGCAATTCCTCCTGGTGACTTTGTTACTTAGGAAGTGATTTATGAAACAATATTACGTAATTTTAAAATAAAGCTACCACAAGGCTCTAATGACACTTTAGACTTAGATGCTATATTTTCCCTCCACGTTAAGTTCAGAATCTCATGCATTTAATCTTCAAGTTTACTGCACACTATTGAATTGCACATGCAAAGCAGTTGAATTGGTGTATGTTTTTCTGCACATATTATCCACAAAAAATAAAATTGAAAAAAAATCACAATGAGATGTCACCTCACTCAAAGAAGAATGGCTAAAATGAAAAAAGAATGACAATGTCAAATGCTGGTGGCAATGTGGACAATAAAATGATAATATTGTCAAAGAAAAAGAAAGTTTACTGCACACACATGCTGTTTACTTTAAAGTTGTGTGGCATTAGGCCAGGGCAGATGTTCTTACACAAGCAATTCTGAAGTCCCTAATACAAATTTATTGCAAAATAAAAGATGTTTAATTATCTTACTCAGTAATCATCTGAGATTCCTGAGATAGCATGGGAGGGCAGGAAGGAAGTAAACTTTACTGAATACCTACTAAGTGTCAACATTTTATTTACGAACCTCTTAAGTCAAACATTATAAATGATTGTTTTACATATAAGAACGCTCAGCTAAGAGCTGCAGATGGCATTACTCTCATCATAGGACATGTGATTGAAATTGATTTATAAATTCTTTTTTTTAAAAAAAACCAAAACTGTAATTTGGCTGACAGTTTACAGAGCAAATTGGTTTTCCAGTCACCTTCCTGCACATTTTATTTTGTGACATTCATTGCAATCCCCACAATGTAACAACATTCTTCTCACTTCCTTCCTGTGTTTACCATTTCCCTTCATCCTCCTTTCCCATAACGTCCTTATTAGCTTTACCCCTGGGCAAATGCTGCCTTTTTTGATCTCTTATGGTTGATTGTTCTAATGAGAATGTACCTCTCTGATATTATTTTTCACCTTTTAGGACCGTCTATCACTTGGCTGAAAGTTGAGCCATAGGGATGAGTTCAATTCAAGGCTTGAAGGATGTCTAAGGGTCGTGGAGTTGACTTTAAGGAGAACGATATTCTCTAACTTGTTTTAAGAATTAAATAAGATTCAATCATAAAGAGAAATGAAGTTGTGATGCATGCTATGACATGGATAAACCTTGAAACATTATGCTAAGTGAAAAAAGTCAGACACAAATATGTATGACCCCACTTGTGTGAAATATCTAGGAATACACAGAAGCAAAATTATTAGTAGTTGTCAGGGTTGGGGGTGGGTGGGAAACCATTGCTTATGGGTACTCAGTTTCTGTTTGGGGTGACTTAAAAAAAACTTAGAAATAATGGTGTTGATGTCAGAACATGGTGAAGGGAATTAATGTTACTGAATTATATACATAGAAATTGTTAAAGTGATGTTTTTTTGTTTGTTATTTTATCACTTTTTTTTTTAAAAGAATAATGATGAAGCTGTGAAACACATCAGAACATGGATGAACCTACAGGATATTATGCTGAGTGAAATTGTTGTTGTTGTTGTTATATGCCATCGAGTCAGCCCCAACTCATAGCGACCCCTCCTTGGGTTTCTGAGGCAGTATCACTACGGAAGTAGCATTGCCCAACCTTCCTTCCGAGGAGTGGCTGGTGGAATTAGTCAATCACAAAAGACAATTATTATATGAGGCCACTACTGTAAAAAGTTAAGAAAAGATTTACACATAAAATAATCATTCTTTGAAGGTTACCAGTGGTGGGAGGGGAAGGGAGGAAAAATCACCAACTTGAGGGTAGACTTATTAACATGGGTAAAGAAAAAGGCAGCAAACAATAAGGAGGAGGTGAGCACAAAATCATCAAGGCAGTGGAAGACACAGTGAGGAGGACAAGAGTTAAAGGCAACAAAGGCGAATGCTACTACATACACAATCTTGCGATAACAGTAATAAGAGTAAGTTATGGGTTGATACATAGATAGACACTCAATCAGAACAGAGGTGGGAAGGTGAATGGGACTACACCCACATATATGTATTTATATGGACTATGCATTTATATGGGCTTCCAATATATCCATGAATGTAGTAGAGCATACAGGGGACAAAGTTTTGAAAACATCTAAGTCACAATTAACACTTTGAGGAAATAAATTGCTGAATGTGGAGGCTCAGGTCTATAGTTTTGGGGGTCACTAAGGTCAACTGGCATAACATAGCATGTTATGTCCATAAAGACAATGTTCTACATCCTACTTTGGTGATTAGTGATTGGGGTCTTGAAAGCTTATGAGCAGTCATCTAAGTTGAAATTATTGGTCTCTCATCTGGAGAAAAGAAGAGTGAAGAAAAGTCAAAGGCACAAGGAAACAATTAGTCCAAAGCACTAACAGAATATACAAATTCTTGCCTCCACAATCCTGGGAGTGGAAGGACTAGGTGGTGCCCAGCTATCACTTCTGATTGCTCTGAAAGGGATCACAATATGAGATGGTGATTGGTGGGGGTGAGGGGTATGGAACAAAATTCAAAATAAAAAAACACCAGGCTTACTGGTTTGATGAAGGCTGGTAGAATCTCAGACTATGGCGCTTAGACATTCTTCAAGCTAGAAACTGAACTGACCCTTGTGAATCAACTGTCAGCCAAATAACAGACAGATCTTAAGATGAACTGCAATATCAGGAGGTTATGCACTCATTAGCACAATCAAACACATAAAATCAAGAGGATAGCATTTGTCAAGGGATAGAGGTGAGAAGGTGGGGATGGGAAGGAAGAATGAAGGGAGTGATAGGCACAGGGAGGAAGTGGGAAGAATGCTGTTACAGTGTGGGGATTACAGTAAATGTCACAAAACAGAAAGTGTATTGATTGTTGAAAACCAATTTGCTCTGTAAACTTTTGCCCAAATCAAAATAAAATAATAAATTTTTAATAAATAAATAAATAATTAAATGGGATAATTCTATTTAAAGTGCATAGTATAGTAACAGCTCATGGTAAGAATAGTATTGTGTTTTTTTTTTTTTTTTTTTTTAATTTTAACATCAACACTAATAACATAGACCTTTCACATACATTATTTCTAATTCTTGCAACATCATTATGTTGTTGTTGTTGTTGTTGTTATGTGCCGACGAGTCAAACCCGACTCATAGCGACCCCTCCTTGGGTTTCTGAGGTGGTATCACTACGGAAGTAGATTGTCCAACCTTTCCAAGGAGTGGCTCGTGGGTTTGAACTGCCAGCCTTCTGGTTAGCAGTCAAGTGCCTTAGGCACTATGCTACCAGATTTCCCAGTGAGTAACATAAACACTACATATCTGAATAGAGTGGGGATCTGTGTCCAACCTACAACCTCCTGCTACTATGCATTAGTATCTTCTCCACTTACCACTCAATTTACAACTCTGATATTTACTATCGATGAAGAATTGCTAATTCCACATGTTTGTCTTGCATCTTGAATTACAGAGTAAACACCATGAAGTCATATTCTTTCTTACAACTCTGTACCCCCAGTCATTCATTCAGTGATAACAAGTGTACAATCAATATATCTTAAAATTGATTAGATTTCATATTCTTATTATAAATGTTTTCAAAGATCCAAGTTGCAAAATGCTTTTAATATTTGTCCTTTGTGTAATACTATAAGATAATAATTAGAAAAAATATAAATTTATTCATTTTTCTTTTTAAATAACTAGGCAAGGGTAAGGAGAAAGATGAAGGGTGGGGAATGGCAGGAGGGAGGGATTAAAACTGGGCATGAGAAAACTTTTCAAGGTAATGCCTATGTTCTTTATGCTGATTTTGATGATTTCATGAGTGTATACATATAGCAAAACTTATCAAATTGTACACTTTTTAATATGTGTGTGGCAAGGAGAGCCCATGGTGTCATTAAGAGAGACAGGAAAGTTCAAAGGAGAGGCCAGTACCACAAATGACTAAATGGTCTGTTCAGACTGAGCCCAGAAAAGAAATCAAGTACTGTAGAACAAAAGATGTGAATATCAGATAGGTTAATGAAACACTGCACTTAGTCTACCCATGCACTCCCTAAGTTATTAAAGGGTGTGTTCCAAACGTATGCTTAGAGACTGATAGAACTAAATGTCCAGTAGCAGGGAATCGGTAAGCAAACCATGGCAGCACACAATGGACAGACCCTTGCATAGCAATTGGAAATGATCTATCTGAAGATCATGTAGAAAAAATTTGCCTAAATGAAACAAACCTTTTTTGTTTAGAACAAAATATTGTGTGTATACAAGTTTCAACAACTGCACTTCAGTTGGAAAAGAACTGAGAGAGAAAACATGAGGTCTCAATGAGTAAAAAATTCCTCTATCATCTTCTTTATCACTTGCCTGTCCAAATAACCTTCACTCTCAGCAAGTTCTTCTATATGGCAAAATCATATTCTTTAGTGATGTAAAATGTAAACTCTTCACACATTGAGGCTCTCAAAACTTAATTATTCAAAAAGTTCCTTAGAGCCTTAAATCAAATTCATATATCCCAAATATGACCAATGACTAGGCCATTTTTCATGAAATATGGGTAAAAGTTAATTATTATGATTTGATTATACAGTATCTGGGCAGGTCACTAGATTTATCATTTCAAGATCTGAAAAGAAAACACAGGCAAGGAAGCTAGCCATGAGAGAGAAAATCCTGTCTCATCTACACAGTAATAAATATTTGCCGAGTTTTATATATCAAGTCCTTATTTGCTGGATCATGCCATTCATCAAATGAGCATCAACTGGGCATGCCAAATATAAAATGTGTTCATGTTTTCTTGACCATACTGCATGCATACCAAAAGCCTTTCATAGTCAACCCAGTACCTCTGGCGTTCCCTTCCCAAACCTTGTAACTAAAGTATCTTACTAAACAAAACAACTTCGTTTTTCTACTGAAGTGGAGACTTTAGACCAGGGCTACTACATGTGGCTTTCCCAGTATGCCAGAAAAATTCAGAAAGTGAAAATAAGAGTTTCAAAACTTTTATAAGAATTTGACTTGCAAAATCCAAGTTCATAATCTTGTACTTTGCAATCACACTGATCTATGATGGATTGGAAATTAAAACAAGCATTCCTTCACCTGACAGTTTGAGAAACACTGGATTAAATCATAGCTGGTTTGATATAGAGTGTTAATTGAGTCCAAATAATCAAACTGGTTGTGCTTGGTGACAAGTAACATGCAGGAAGGAGTCTACATAAAAGTTTGAATGACTCTGTTAATTTTTGTAAGAACTTTTTTAATGTGAGGCAATTATAATAGTGCTCTATTGGATCTGACCTTATGTCCTAACCTCAGGAAGCAAGGAGTGCCAATTTGATATTACACAATTGGCAATTTTACTCGGGAAAACTGACAGAGCTCAGAATTAAATGAAACAATGCTGCTGGCGGGAAAAACTATTATGATAGTCGCCAAGATAATTCATCCTGATAAAGGTTTGATTTTCAATATTACATGAAACTTTAAATTAAGATTAGGTGTCACAATTAAATTCTAAAATAGAATTCATGTTATCATATTACCAATGAAGGTTGTAAGTTCCAATTTCAATAATTTAACAACCTAAGAGGTGAAATGTGCAAAAATTTCTTCCCTTTGGTGATGCTGTTGGAGAGTGTACTTAATATGAAAAAGCTATAAGGAATTTCAGGGGACGTGGGAGCTCTGGTGGCATAGTCCCTAAGGCATTTGACTGCTAACCGGAAGGCTGATGGTTCAAATCCACCAGCCACTCCTCAGAAGGAAGACTGGACAATCTACTTCCATAGGGATACCACCTTGGAAACCGAAGGAGAGGTCGCTATGCGTTGGATCTGACTCCACGGCAGTGCATTGCATTGCGTTGGTGGTCCAGTGATTTAAGTGCTTTGCTGCTAACTGAAAAGTCAGTGGCGTGAACCAACCAGCTACTCCACAGGAGAAATATGTGAAAGACTGGTTCAGTAAAGATTTACAGTCTGGAAACCCAAAGGGGCAGTTCTACAAGAGTTGTATAGGTTTTCTATGGGTAAAAATCAATTTGATAGCAATGGGATTTCGAGCTCTGGTAGCATAGTGCCTAAGGCACTTGACTGCTAACCAGAAGGCTGGCAGTTCAAACCCAACAGCCACTCCTCAGAAGGAAGATGTGGCAATCTACTTCCATAGTAATACTGCCTCGGAAACCCAAGGAGGGGTCGCTATGAGTTGGGTCCGACTCGATGGCACATAACAACAACAATTTGAAAGAAATAATGCTAATTAAGCCACATATTATGTAAATAGTGTTAAATCATAAAAGACATTATGATGTATCTTATTGACTCACGTTTTTCTTGGACATACAGATAGCCTTCCATCGTCCACTGGCTGGGTGGTCTGTAATCTTGGTTGGCAGATTTCATTCTTTGCATCAACCGCTCTACCTCTTGACGAGTACTTTCAAAATTATTTCTTGTCTTAAGTAAAAAGAAACAACAATTTTATTATTATTTTACCTGCAACCTACAGTTTCCAAACTGTGAGTGGTGTAAAGAGTAACCTTGATCCATTAGGCACTATCACCAAATCCAATTCACTACAATGTTGAGACTTACGGTTAGTGACATGCACTTTCTATCTGACATTCGTGTGTGTATGTGTGTGTCTGTGTCTCTGTGTGACTTTTTTCCTATTTCCCATTGTGACATCAAAATATTTTAATATGTTATAATATTCATTAAATAGTATTTGCATTCACTAAGGATTTACCTGGGGGAGCTCTGGTGGTGTAGTGCCTAAGGCATTTGGCTGCTAACCAGAAGACTGGTGGTTCAAACCCACGAGCCACTCCTTCGGAGAGAAATTGGGCAACCTACTTCCATAGTCACACTGCCTCGGAAACCCAAGAACGGGTTTCTATGAGTCGGATCCGACTCCATAGCAGTGAGTTTGGTTGTTTTTTGGGAGCTCTGGAGGTATAGTGCTTAAAGCATTTGACTGCTAACTGGAAGGCTGGTGGTTCAAACCCACCAGTCACTCCTCGGAAGGAAGATTGGGCAATCTACTTCTGTAGAGATATTGCCTTGGAAACCCAAGGTGTCACTATGAGTTGGATCTGACTCCATGGCAGTAAGTTTTATTTTTTTAAGGATTTACCTTGAGGTTTTTTTTTCCTAGCTTCGTAGAGCAGGCTAAGGTAAAAAATAGATACATAGGGACCTATATTTCTTTTGAGGAAGCAAAACAAAACAATATTAGGTTCCCATACTTTTGAAATAGTTGGCACTTAACAAATCAGAGGTACACAAGAAAAATGCTTCCTATATCTGTCCAAATGATGCTTCTTTTTTTTTTTTTTTTTTTGAAGGAGAAGCATTATCTAACTTGGTTTTGAGAAATCTTAATATACTTATTAATAGGTGAGTATATAAATCAACTCATAAAAATGAATACTTTTCCAACATCTAACTTCTTCTGCTCCAGAAAATAGTTGACTCATTTTATAGCTAATTTAGGTAAGCGACAGTGGCAGGAAGCACTTCTCTATGAAATTGTCTTTGGCATTCACAACATTATCTCAACATGAGCCTGAGAACCTACAAATCATCGTCACCTAACTCTAAAATCTTGCTACACCTGATAACAAGCAAAAGAACTGAATCTCAAGAATGTTAGAAAAATTTTTTCAGCTGTCACTTTTGCTACACACTTTTTTTATGGTGTGCTTTTTTTTTTTTTTTAAATTTTTATTGTGATTTGGGTGAAAATTCACAGAGGAAATTCATTTTCCATACAGTAGTTCATACACATTTTGTTTCATGACACTGACTGCAAATCCCCACAATTAATGCCTCTCTTCCCACTTCCTCCCTGTAGTTACCTCTTCTCTGTATCCTTCCTTCCCATGTACTCTTGCATCCCCAGCTATCTCCCTCTGCATACACAGCCCTTCTGTTCTCCCATGATTGATTCCTCCAAGGAGGAATCATTTACCTGATGTAAATGTCCACCCTATAGGCCTATCTTTTGTTTGGCTGCTGCTCATGTCTCTTTAAATATAAGGGCCAGAGTTTTATCCAATTCCTTGCCCAACCCCAAATTTAAGGGATCTAATTGCATTTAATATGAAAACAGTTCAAAAAATCCATTGTCCTTTCCAGTGTTCCCTTTCTGTATTTACTGAAAAGGCCTAAATGCATCCCATGCTAAAAAAACTACTGAATGAATTACATTTGAAATCAATTCTGCTAGAAACTCTAGGTAAAATAAAAAGCTGAAATTCAAAACAAAAGTAGATTAAATCTAACTACATATTTCTCGGTGGGACACACCAATTCTCTAGTTAACTATTAAGTACATATCTCCACAATGGTAAGAATCAGATAAAAGAGAAACTTAAACTTTTACAGAAAATTATTTTGGCAATTAGGGTTTTAGGAATAACTTCAGTTACAGACAATTTCAACAATCGTGACTTTATTATTCGTTAGGTTTGATAACGTAGACATAGGTCGGCTAAAGTTTGTTTCGTTTTGCTCTTCTTTGTTGTAAGTGGTGAAGATAATTTGAAAATTAGAATTTGTATCACTGGTGGCGTAGTGGTTAAGGCACTTGACTGCTAACCAGAAGGCTGGCGGTTCAAACCCACCAGCCACTCCTCGGAAGGAAGATGGGGCAATCTACTTCCGTAGTGATACTGCCTCAGAAACCCAAGGAGGGGTCGCTATGAGTCGGGTCTGACTCGATGGCACATAACAACAACAACAACATATAACCATAGATTAAAATATTGATTAGACAACACGACCATAAACCCTGAGAAAACTAAATAGGCTGTTTGTAGATAATCATCACTTATGCTTTAGCACAGTTACATAACAACTGCTTCAAAACACATTCAAATTTATGATTTGAAAATAATAAATATTAGCTATTAATAAAATTTTAGAAACAAATAATACAGAGGATAGGTTATTCATTTCACAAATACACAATAAATAAAGGGGACTTTCCCAAGGTTACCCAGTAAATTAATGATGTTATTGTTATTTTCCAAGTTTCCAGATGCCTACACTTCTGTGATATTTAATTTAATAAAATTTGCTAGCATAAATTTATCTAGCATAATGGTCTTTCTTTCCTGGTGTACTTTCAACCAGTAGCTTGAAAAAATTAATTTCTTTTAAAATAAATTCTAAGTGATTTTTCAAAATTGGTTAAAGTTAGTGAGGTTTTAGACAAACTTTTGAAAGATTCCATGGTTTGACTAGATTATAATATAGTTACCCTTGATCATCAGATTTGCTAAGGAGAGGCAGTAAGAACAGATATAGTCTTACATTCTGTAAGTTGAACTGCAGCTGTTGCTTATATGGTGCGAATTCCTGTGCGAGTTCATATCCCTCATGATAAAAAGTAAATAAGCCCTGAAGGAATGACAAAAGCTGCAAAAATAAAGAAATAAAAATGAAAATGTTGTTTAAAGAAAAATTATACCTCATTCTAATGTCTCAAACTAATAAAATTTCCATCTCTTTGTTTGGCAAAGGCAGTCATTAGACTCATGAATATGAAACACAAATTCCAAAGTGAATTCTTTATTTTCTTTTTGAGAGACAGTGATTTAATTTTTGAGTCAGATCATGCAGATGTCATATTAAGTACTATCCAAATGCGTTGAAGAAATATCCCATAGAGACAACCAAGGGTGGGAAAGACCAAAGTGATATAGGTCCTACCCTGTTAGAGAGTCTAGTCGAAACACTGAGATAGAACACATAACGACAAAAAGAAGACAAACCAGGAAATTAGAGGTAAGAAGAACATGTGTGACCCAAGGGGAAGAATGAGGATTTGGCAGGATGAAATTAAGAAAAGCAACACTAGGTAGCAGTACTGACTTGAGTTTTGAATAGACAACATTTTGGCAAGGAATAGGAATAACTCAAAATAGGAAAAAGTGTGAGCAAAAAGATGGAGCTGAATAACACACACCTTTCACAGGTGAACTGGAGTAAGATCTTCTTTAGACCACCTAGCATTCTATGATCCTAGCCTTCCAATCCCAAATCCATGTGTGCTTATTAACTAGGTTTTTATTTGTAAAATAAGACTGGCTCTCCATGGAATCACAGGACACAGGTTTTATATGAAAAAAGTTATATCTGAAAAATAATTGATTTACATTTTTTCATTTAATACACTGGGATTTTTTTTCCCCCATAGGCTTGTCCACTAATTTCAACTCTCCCACAACTCTTCCTATAGTAAAGTTAGAAAATATTTTTGACAAGTTGCTAATGGTTTTCAAATTCAAATAACATAATGTTTGTAATCCATTGATTTGGGTGAAGATTTACAGAGCAAATTCACTTTCCATACAGCAGTTCACATATACTTTGTCTCATGTCATTGACCACAGTTTACCACAATGCAACAACTCCCCTCCCATTTCCTCCCCATAGTTACCTCTTCCCATTGTAAAACCATTTTCATATGTAAATAATACCCTGACACTTCCTCTCTTGGGAAAGCAGAGAGGATTCTGCTAAACATCAGTTGGTACATGTGTTTGATTTCCAAACAATAAATATGGGTTTTATAGGAAAGAAATGATTTTTCTATAAACAAGTCAACTCTCAAAAGTTATTTTCATTTCAAAACGCATATACTTTCAAATTATTTTGTTTTGTAAAGCTCTTACATGGGTAAGAGCTTTTCTTCTCTTGTTCAATAGTTCTTTATAACGTACCAAAGTCTATTTATTATTTGGTTACTTTAGAATTATTTTACATTGTCAGTTGTACAGCAATTCATAATGACTAGCAAAACAAAAATTTCATTACTAAAATAATGCTATGATACACTTGTCATATTATCTAATAAAATATATAGTCTATTTGACTGTACATGTTGTTATATGCCATCGAGTTGGCCCCGACTCACAGCAAACCCTCCTTGGGTTTCCGAGGCAGTATCACTGTGGAAGTAGATTGCCCAACCTTCCTTCCGAGGTGTGGCTGGTAGGTCTGAACCACCAGTCTTCTGGTTAGCAGTCAAGTGCCTTAGGCATTATGCTACCAGAGCTCCTGTACATATTGTACCTAAATACATCAAATAATAGGTTAAAATATTAACTAACTAGGGTCTGGATAGGTATATTTTGAGCTTTTCAGAGATAACATAAGAAAATACTCTTGAAGTATTTAAATAATACTAGTCTCCTAAACATCCCCATATAGTTGACGAAGTTGTTAGAGAAAATATTGTTTCATATTTTATTTTCTATGATTAAAAGATTAGTTATTGTGTAGTTGGTTCTAACTCATGGCAACCCTGTGTGTGCCAGAGTAGAAATGTGTTTCACAGGGTATTCAAAGGCTGATTTTTCAGAAGAAGATAGTCAGGCCTTTCTTCTGAGGCATCTCTGGGTGGCCTCAAACTTCCATCTTTGCAGTTGTCAGCCAATCACATTAATGGTTTGCACTACCTAAGGATTCCCTGGGAGCTCTGGTCGTGTAGTGCCTAAAGCACTTGACTGTTAACCAGAAGGCTGGTGGTTCAAACCCACCAGGCACTCCTTGAAAGGAAGATGGGGCAATCTACTTCTGTAGTGATATTGTCCTGAAAACCCAAGGAGGGGTTGCTATGGGTCGAGTCTGACTTGATGACACATAACAACAACAACAGGATCCCCTTCTACAATTAGACCTCAGTTAAACTGTCTTTTATGAAATGGATGTCATACAAGGCAGATGCTACTCTAGTGTCCTCATAAGGAGAAAGGCTCTAATGTTACTTGCAAAGAGAATATTTTGTGAATATCTTTGACAAAAGCCTCCCAATTCCCCACAATCCAACTTTTCTATTACTTTGAGTGTTCAGAACATGGGAAATAGGCAGAGCACACTAATGTTTAAGAAAAAGGAAGTAAAGCATTCTGAACCACACACAAATTACTGCTAAAAATTCTAATTAATGATCATTTGTAATCCTTAGGCCACAGACTTTGATGCTCTATTTCAAAAGACACAACTGCAGAAAATGATGAACTCTGCTCTTCGATCCCAATTCCTGAGTATTTTTCTAGCAACACTTCTCATACCCTCACCACAGGATGAGCTTCTTCATCACGTATAAAAAATTCAATGAACTGCCTGAGGGTCCCCTAACTAAAACAATCTTACGGAAATGTTTCAACATGGGCTTTAATAAGCCACCATTGTCTGATACAAGCTCTGCTTGAAATTTCCTAACAATGTTTTAGGAAATGGAGATGGAGAATTTTTCCTTTTATTTAGTCCACAGACTTAGCACTTTATAATAGCAACTTCAGTCAAGATGAAAAGAACTCCGTTGGCATCTTCTAGCAAAATTCCAATTTGTTGTGGAGAAGACAAATTCATTTGAACACATGCTGAACACATCCTAAAGAACGTACAATTCTTTGGAAGGTGCAGAAACATTACACACAAAGAACCACCCACCTTTTCCTTTGGTTCCATATCTTTGAAAGCAGCTTTGGGTAAAGTTTAATGAAAAGAACATGTAAGAAATAACTACCTGTAGATGGCAGCAAAGTTAAATCTTTTTTTAGATTTTATATCTGAAAAATATATGTATGTTGTTATGTGCCATATATATATATATATTTATATATACACACACAAACACACACACACACACACTCACACACAAGTCCACTTTATACACAACAAATTCCATGATCCTCTACCAGGGGAAGACTCCATGGATGATGCAATTGACACATCTGGCTGTTAACTGAAATGTTAGAGATTCAAGTCCACCTAGAACACTTTGAAAGAAAGACCTGGTGACCTACTTCTGAAAAATTAGCTGTTGAAAACCGTGCCGAGCACAGTTCTACTCTGACACACATGGGATCACCATGAGTCGGGATCGACTCAATGGCAAATGATACTGGTTGGTACCAAGGGAACTTACTAGGATAGCCTGAAAAACTTTAAGGGCTGTATTTCTCATGTGTCATTTTCTCTGTCCAATCTATCTGAGGACGTGCAGTGTTTTGGACAAGATTGCCTGCAGCCTATCTTAAAGTATACCTGACCTTTATAATCATAACAATAACCACAACATTACCACAAAATATTAGATCAAATTTTAGTATTGAGAAAGCAACTTTTATCATTAGGAAACACTCATACAGCAGTTTATTATTCCCAAGTGCTCTAGAATCAAATGACTATTTATCACTGCAATAACCATTTATAGATAAACTTCTACAAGAACATCTGATTTTTTTTTCTCTTTGTAAGTCAGCAAAGGAAACATATTCATAATTTTCCAGGCCTTTAATTACCAGAAGGAGCCATGGTAGTGCAGTGTTTAAGTGCTCAGCTGCTAAAATGAAAGGTCACTGGTTTGAACACACCACCCACTCCACGGGAGAAAAATGAGGCAGTCTGCTTCTGTAAAGATTTACGGCTTTGGAAACTCTGTGGAGTTCTACTCTGTCCTATAGGGTCTCTATGAGTTGGAATCAACTTAACGGCAGTCGCTTGATATTTTTTTGTTGTCGTTTTGTTTTAATGAACAGACAAATAATTAAATGAAGTATAGATGTGAAACATATTTTTAACTTTTTCAACTTTTAGAATATACTTTTAACTATTTCAAGACTTTTAGCCGCATGATTACTGGTGTAATGTGAATGTCAGAGAAAAGAAAAGTGGAATGGTGGTTCAAGGTAGCATGGGGTTGAGGGGAAAAAGCTTCAAAGCATTAGAGACAGTGATTTCAGGTGACTGCTGTTCAATCTAGGCAGAACTAGGCTGTAAGCTTTCTTTTACTGATATGATTTATACCTACGTGCTTTCACTCTTTTCTGAAGTGATAATAATCAGTTCTTACAATCAACTGTTTTCCTTCATTACTTAAAATTCTCTTGCTGATAGAGATGTCCCATCTGCCCAGAGCAACACTGTCAATCATGCTCTAAATGTATTCTCGGATTCAGATGAAGTGGCCTGAGGTACACTTCTACACTAAAAGAACTAAGGCAATTGAGAATAGTCAGATTATCTTTACACCTTTCATGGGAATGAAGAAAGTGAGATAGCCAGGAGGGTAATAAAGTCCACCAGAAACTACATGCAGACCATATATATAGGACTGAATTCTAAAATGAAGTTCAAGAAGACTACGCCCAACAAACATATATTTCTTATGACTACAAAATTCTATCCACTATCTAACTCCTGGGAGCTCTGGTGGCATAGTGCCTAAGGCATTTGACTGCTAACCAGAAGGCTTGTGGTTCAAACCCACCAGCCACTCCTAGGAAGGAAGGTTGGACAATCTACTTCCATAATGATACTGCCTCGGAAATCCAAGGAGGGTTCGCTATGGGTTGGATTTGATGTGACAGCAGTGAGTGAGTATTTAACTGCTATCACAAGTTTCA